TTTTAAAACGTGCGGTGCACGTTCATAGTTATGAAACACATAATCAGTCATATTACATCGTGGTCAATTAAAATGACTGATTTAATTATATAACGTTCATTGTTCCCATTCCTTAGGTCAATAAGTGAAAAATAAATTACACTGTTTACTTCCATGAATAATTTGTTATATTTGAATGAAGCGAACGGGAATCACGCGGGTTTGTTAAGGCAGCACACAGATCAGAATTCGGCGAATTAACACTTTTTTTATGATATGTAACACTAATAAATCGGAAAAAGTCACAGATAAAACTTTTGCTATAATTATGCATTCTATAGACTTCAATGGGACTTATACTACAGGAAGCACTTCACCACGTGACATCTATAATTAGAAAAAATGCCTTAATAAAAAAGTGAAAAGTTCAACACTACCCCGAGGATAATTAATTTCAATTTGTAATAATAGTTATGTAAAAACATCTCTGTACCATGAAAAGTGCTGCTAGAATCCTACTGTCCTATCACAGAAATAATTATTCATAACTTTCGGACCAAACCTTCCCAAAATTTTTACATTTTGTTCATAAGATCGGAAAAATTGCATCAATCACCGTAAACCATAAGATTCTAACAGCACTTTCCAAAATCAATAGAATAAGAGCTTTAGATAAAAACAAAAATTAAGTTTCAAAGTGTGCGGCGTAGTGTTGAACTTTTACATGTATTTTTGTTACGAATGAGGTGAGGAAAGGCTGATAGGGTGATTGCAAACATTATGTCTGCCTTTATTTTACGAAGAAATTGTAGAAAAATATTAGTATACCTTATTCATAAGCTTTATTCCCACATGAATCAAACATGATATTTATTCCAAATGCTTTTAAACTCCGATTTCTTGTGTTTGTTCACATGAATTCTCGTTACGTTTCACTTTCACTCTGCTACTGCATGATCAACAAAATGACGTTAGAATTTAACCCCTGTAGTATACCCAAGAAAGACAAAATTTTTTTTCCAAAATTCATTTTTACGACCCCAAATCAATCTTAGATATCGATTTTAAGAAATTGTCATCTCTAAACTTCACGTCATAAAGCTTACTATGACGTCATATCATGTAGGCAAGTAGAATATTTGGTTGTAACCTTAACGACGTTCTATCCTGATATTTAAAGTCTTAAAAATTTTTTGCCAAGTATATTTTCAGTTTCTGCATACATAGCTTACTTAAAATTCAAATTAAAAAATGGGGGTCAATACGCTTCTTTTGGCACTACAATACATTTAATATGACCATTCTGCACTGAAATTTGTGTCTTAATTAAAAATTACATTTTTAACGTTTTCCCTCCAATCTTTTTATCCAATTAAAGCATGAAACAAAATGAACTCTAAGTTTGTTAGTTTCACATTGCTTCGCATAATCAATTATTTGACCTTTCTGCACTAATAAAATGTGATTTTTCTGGCATTGAAAATTTAATAAGCAAGAAAATTATTTTAAAGTCTTAAACTTTTTCTGGTTTTAAGCAAATAGGTCAAATTTATCTTGAATATTTAGAAAAGAACATCAAAAGTTGGGGTATATGATGTAAATTTTCAGATATTACTAAAAAATTGTCAATTTTACGTTAAAATTGGCTCAAATTTCCCCCGGATTTTCAGAATATATTTACTATATTTGTCACATTTTGTTGATAGAATTAATAAGAAATAATTTAATAGATATTTCAGAACCAGTATAACACATTTCACTGCAAAAAACAGCTTTGTGTGCAACCAGGATGGGAGAATAGGAATCCAAAATTAACAGTACTGTTATAGTTCAAAATGGAAAAACTGATCATTTTCGTCTAAAAAACCTTCCGCCACAAAATATAGTCCCTATCTTAATTCTACTTGAAGGGAATTTAATCGCGGTTTTTTTCATTGAATATAGTTAAATTTGCACTGTAGAATTCAGATTTAATGTTAGAACTTAAAAATGAAGCAGAATTTTATAAATAAAGGACCTGACCAAAATATGCTCAAAATCTCAGGATCGAACGTCCTTAACATACCTGCGCAATCTTATAAAACTCATCATAGTATACAATCGTGAAATTTTGTTGATATTGTAGAAAACGAATCCTGTTTCGGGATTGTGCATAACAGTTTCACAACAGTCCAAGTTGTTAATAAGAAAGTAAATGTTAATGTAAATGTTAAACATTAACCAAGAAGTTAATCAGTATTGTTTATTTTAGTTTAAACTTCGTAGACATGACTATTCACAATAGTGTAAGTCATTTAGAGATTATTCATATTAAACAATACATAAACAAATATAGACATTAACTTTAGTTTAATCTCAAAAGACTTGAGTAAAAGATTAAAAAGCCTAGTTCATCAAAGAACACTTTTTGTTTCGCTTATTTCTGTATATTTGATTTTAAAAATCGCATCAATTGAAAGATGCCTTGAAACCGGAACCCCTAACCCAGAGGCAACGAAATTCACAACTTTGGGGGAAAAACTCCCTTGCTCGTGATACACTGTAGCAATGCACATACTAGTTAATTTGATTTCACTTTGACTACGGAAAAAAATTAGTCCTGGTAAATGCATTTAAAAGAATATACAAATATTTCTCTCTAATTTATCTTGCACAGGATTAATATACAATTATGGACTTCAGTGTAGGTCGATATTTGGTTATAAGGACTCATGGCAATTGATATTGATCGAAGACACAGAAAGTGATAGCGACCGAGCCTGCGAGGTCACTATCATTTTCTGTGTCCTCGGTCAATATCAATTGCCATGAGTCCTTATATCCACATATTGACCATTCACTGAAGTCCATAATAGTTATATTTTGTAGTTTTATTTTATAATCACTTAAAGTGAATGCACTGACACACTCCTAACTAAACAGACCTGGCTGTCATTACGTCACAATGTTTAAAACACGCTTCTTATATTATGACGTCACGTTCTACGTAACTTCAGTGCAAGCAAACGCTGTGTTGTGCGATATCATTTTCCGCCAATGAGCTTTTGCATCCATATCACAAAAAGGAGGAATATCACGTGACGTCCTTTCAGCCAATGAAAATTACGAAAATAATCTTCTCATATAATACTTGTCAAGGACGTTCAAAGAGATCTTAAAGATATTTGTTCCAGGGTAAACCAATGAATTCATGTTAATCATAATCTACAAGTCTACACTAGCTCTTAGGCTACCAAAAGCTCATAATCACAAAATAGTGAAGTCTGTGATTCAAATGTCGATAAATTCGATTTTGTATCGATTGCCGAAGGGACTTTACTAATTATCTCACACTGTACGATGGAAATAGAAAAAAAAAATTGTTAGTCAATATGCTTGTACACAGGTTGTCCATTCAAGAAGAAAGTGAAATATGCAATTTCTTCATAAACTACCAAATAAGATTTTTTAACACATTGTTGCTAAATGTTTTCGCTATTTTGACAAAATCAAGTTGTCCATGTAATATAATGTGTATGGAAGCAGAATGTCGATTATCGGTGGTCGACACACGTGGTTTTTAACATGTAGAACTATACACACCATCTTTTTTTCAATAGTAAGAAATTAAATTTTCACAGAGTTTAAATCTATGAACAGTCTTTAATCTATAGTACTAATTTCTGCAAAAAAATCTTTAACTTGATATCATAAAGGACAAATAGATGACATTACACACATTAACACTTGAATTTACATATTGTCAAACATTGAGGCGTTGAGCAATATCATCTTTCAAAAGGATGTTCAGCAGGGTGTAGTATGACTCCTGATTATGCAGCATATAATTAATGTCTTACATGTTTACAAAGCAAAAGCGTTTCAAGTATCATATATTATATGTACACATGTATACTTTACAAGGGCAAAACAATATATCTAATTATCATTATTTCACGACTAGCATTCTTTAGTTAGTAACTGCTTACTATAGTAAAGTTTGCAAAAGTGTAGGACTTTAAAGGCTCAGAATTCTCGAAAATTGAAAAAAAACACATTGATTTTTGGTTGACGAAACTCAGTTTTTCGGTTTTGAATAAATGGGTTTTTTTGTATTCGGAATTGTGAATTACTTTTTTTACAATTAAGTTTTGCTTACAATACAAAAGTAATTAAGCGCTGCCATTTAAGATTTGTAAAAAAAAAAAAAAAAAAATAAGAATAAATTTCGAAAGATTTTGAGATAGTATTCCATCATTATCGTGTATAAATTTGAATCTTTATTGTTTGGTCTAATCTTAGCAAAGAGGCGATTACAGACATAACATGTATGATTAAAAGATGCTAACAGTCAAGACTAAAAAAATAGTCTAGTGAAAGCTTATAAACACAACGTTTTCACGTCTCATTGTATCTTGAAGAGGAATCGAAAGTTAATATTATATCCTTTACAAAACATCACTAATTAAAAAAAAAAAGAAATCTTCGTCTGGGAAATTTTGCTTCCGGGGACAGATTTTGTTCTAGTCCTTTCAAAATAAAGTGGTTTGAGAATTGGATCCTGGCAAATTATTCATTCACTCCTTTATGAAACGTTTGTGGCAAATATGAGCAAACCATAGTTTTACATTCGACAGTGATAATTTTTAACTGTAATGCATTTATCAAAGTTTTTATGTCATTGTTTTAAATGCGTATTTATCAAACAGGTTTTGGAATAAATGTGGCGAACACGAACACAATTCATCCGCTAAAAAACTATTGAACAGATATTTTTTTTATCTGACAAAGCAAAACGTTGTCTGTTTTGAATAATATAATAAATTACACTTTTTTTAGTTTCCGAATATCAAATATATACATTAATAGTGAACCATAAATAATAAAAAAAACAAGGATTTCTTTTCCGGAATATAATGAACTGCATTATTAATTGCATTCTTATAACAAAGGTATTTTTATTGGAACACCTGTATTGGGCCCCGATAGAACAGGTATATATTCATAAATCCAAAGGAGTCTGAAAAGAAAAGACATTTTGAATTCAATAGAAATGATCATCTCAACAGTTCTCTTCGGAATTGCTCTGTGTTTGCCTTTAGGTAATGGACAAGTGACAAGCCCAGGTCGATGCCCGAGGATTCCAACCGTGCGTCCGTTTAATGTTAGACGCGTAAGTTTGTAGTTGAAATTTTATTTTGATTTTAAGTTGCTTCCTGTATTTTCCAATTTACTAATTGTTAAATCTATTAGACATTTAAAATTAGATTTTAATATTTTTGCTTAATTGAGTACACTTTAATTTGTTATAATTAACCTCTCGTAGCTGCAGATGTGATTTCTTTTAAGGAATTCATAATTAAGATAACACAAATCTGTTAATAAAGAAATTATTCATGAGGTACTATGTATAACAAGTTGACTGGGAGGGGGCTGTAGAAAAATATTGAAGAGAAGAGAAGAGAAGGGATTGATTGATTGATTGATTGATTGATTGATTGATTGATTGATTGATTGATTAATTGTTTGCTGTTTTACGTCCCGTTCGAGAATTTGAGAATTTTTCACTCATATAGAGACATCACCAGATAGCAGTGAAGTGCTTCAAAAATTGACAGTTTTTTTTCAGAATTCTGCGCAGTGATATTTTTTTCGTAAAATCGCACGTCGTCAAGCAATGTTGACTTTTGCTATGCTGGTCGGTGTGGCGTCATCATTCAGAGAGTTACAGTGTTTTAACAAATGTTTCTTTGCGATTAAATTCAATTTATTTACACCAAAGTATTATATTTAAATCTATAGCCTAGAGAACATATATAAATAAACCGTTGATAAACTGTTGGTTTTAATTTATCTAGGATTCTGAAATAAGGTGAACAGTTTATCAGGTTTAATGATTTGTTAATTATCAATATATTGGAATGGCACAAGCGCTTAATTAGGATAAGTGTAATTAATGTAGCGATTGCTTTTAAGAAGATTAATTGAAGTCAATTGGCATATGCGTATCACAAAAAAATATGAAAGACTTTTTATTCGGCCGGATCGATAGATCTGGGGCGTATATTGTTTTTATCCTGTCTGTATGTTTGTCTGTTTTTCTGCAAACTTTAATCTTCGCCACAATTTTCGAACCAAAGATAGAGAGTTCATATTTTGTATGCATACTCCACGAAATTAGCTCTTTAAAACGACACCAAGGTCAATGACCTTGTGACCTTGATTGTGGCCTATATGCTAAAAATAACTTTTTCTGCAAACTTTAAGCTGCACCATAACTTTAAAACCATGAAAGACGGAGACTTCATATTTAGTATGCATACTCCACTAATCAAGTTCTTTCAAATGACACCAATGTCAATGACCTTTTGACCTTGACTGTGACCTATATGCTAAATTAACTTTTTTCGATCTTTGTTGCCGCCGAGTGCATAGTATTTCACAAACACATCTTGTTTCAATATGTCTCAAGGACATTAATAAAGTTTATTTAAGCGTCTGAGGTGTTACTTAATCACATCTCTTAGATATCATGCAACACCAGGTTGTTTATAAATGTTGCGTGAATACTTAATGACAGATGACCTATGGAAAGCATTCAATTTAAGAGATTGTCGTTAGACATTTAATTTATTCATACAAGTAATGAATAAACATTTCGGAATCTTACTGGTTGGGCGTTCATTTTTTTTTATTTTAGTATCTCGGCACATGGTTCGGATTTGAACGTTTCTTTTTAAGAGGAGCGGCGGGAACCACGTGTACAAGTCCGGTATACAGCCTAAATAGAGACAGGTCGATCCACGTCCTCAACAGGGGTATTGTTATAAGGTAACAGAGGGGTATGACGGAAACTCGAATTAGGAGACATAAACTTAAATATTATAACTCTGTTGCAATCTCTTAGATACGACCGTTATCATTTTTGAATGAAAAGAATCAAACAGGAGCGAACAGGTCTTGTCCTTCAAGAGCAATCTTGTATTTCAAGTTAAGACAAATCAGTCTTACATGGAAATTCATTGGTCTGAATTACATGCGATTTACAATGACATAAGATTGCATTTTTTTTTAATTGTCACAGTACTTGCATGAATCTTGCCTGCTCAAAATTCAAGACGATTTTGAAAGGTTGACTGTATATAACATTTTCAGCACATGACTAACTCAGCCCAACACTCAGTCCTGATCTTAGTACAGTCGAAATTGTCGATGTGAATAGAGGGGTCCTGTTCAAAGAAATCATTTGACAGTTTGCGTTTTTGATCAGACATTAGTGATGAAAAAAAGAAATAATTGAAATTGACCTTGACGTTTAACTATTTACTTTATTACAGTTATAGCAATGACATTTATGTTTCACAGAAATGTCTTTTTTTAAAAGAAGACCTTTGTTTAGGTACAAACATTTTGATCTCTTGATCTTGACCTTGAAGTTTGATTTCATTTAATATACCTGAACCTTTAGAATGAACTTCCATACAGGGGCATCTTCTTTCACAGACACAGCTGGTTCCTTCAAGATGAGATGAATTTTGGCCTTAATTCCTTCAGATGTGATCTTATTAAAAAAAATATAATCATAATTACTTTAAGGAATCTTTCAGTCGATTTTTTTAATTGTTTTAAATTTTAGAATATTTGAAAGGATTTGGCAGTTTTTTTTTTCATTACAGAACAGGAGAAGCCACAAGTATAGAGGGAGTAGGCGTGGCCTTAAATCCACGTGATCCTGCACGTATTTCTGTCAGATTCAATCCTAGTGAGTATCAATATACTGTCGCTTTTTTCGATTCACAAAGTACATTTTTCTACATGGCATTAATTCACGCTATTACGAGGTAGCAATTTTTCGCTGAAATTTGTTCTAGCGTACTTATAGAAGATTTAAGGTGCATGAAGTAGTTTTGATCAAGGGAATCTGCATAATTTTCTACATCCAAAAATTATGTTCATAGTATGTTAGCAATTTAAAACAAAATTGATAAGAATATACAATGAACACTTACTTTACTCGTCTTCTCATGACATTCACTTTACAGTATATGTTTTTCGTTTAATATAAATCTTTAGATGAACCCTTTGACCCAGATGGGAACTACCTAGTAGTTAAAACAGATTACGTCAGTTTTGCTGTGGTATATTCCTGTGATCAAAATGGTCCCTTCAAATCTGGTAAGTTATGAGGGAATGGCCACAAGGCATATGCCATTTTGAACTTTTGTAATGATAATTCTAAACCATAATCTTGTAATTATTACTTTACGTGAATTCAACATTCATGGAATAAGAAATAATGAAGGTTTCGTGTACATCTAAATGGTGATGCTTTTTTTTTTGTTTCTTTTTACAGAAACCGCTTTCATCCTTCGCAGAAGGCCAATAAATCCAAGTAGAAGATTACTCCTAAAGATATATAGTTTTCTCAGATTTTATGGAGTAAATCCGAGGAATTTCATACGGACGAACTTCCGACAGTGTCTTGCGATTAACGCTTACAAGCGTTTGAACCAAGCGACAATGAACAAATAAAAATAGTACAGAATTCAAATCAAATTATTTATTTTATTTTTTTAACACAATTATTGGCTACTGTACATCACCAACTTTTTGCGAAAACTTATTTTTGAACCAAGCGACAATGAACAAATGAAGTGTAAAATAGTACAGAATTCAAATCAAATTATTTATTTTATTTTTTTAAAACAATTATTAGGTAATTATACATTGTACATCACCAACTTTTTGCTTGAAAAACCATTTTTGTTTACAAGATATATGTATTTGAAATTGTATTCAAAAGCGGGACTCACTGCACGTATTGAGATATTGATTAAGTTAAGTGTAAAACATATATACTCAAACATTACATGTTAAAATAAATACAGATGCAGGGTCACTGATAAAAGTTTCTTGTATATATCTTTACATGTATTCTTGAAAAAAAAATATTTATGCAGAAAAAAGTTTTAGTGAATAAAAAAATATTTAACAGGTATATTCTTAGAATGTAATTATATTGCATTGGTCAAGTTATGGCTGCATTTTTTTCCCTTAAAAAGCCTTGTACCTATCGCTTGAAAAACCATGTTTCAATTTACAAGCTAACATGCACTTGAAATTGTCTTTAAAAGTAAACTCACTGCATTGAGATATTGATTAAGTTACAGAGGTAAATTGCATATATACTCAAACATTATTATTGTTTAAAAATCTACAAAATACAAAATGAGTGAAACATTCCCTTGCAGGGTCACTGTTAAAAGTTCATCTTGTATATATCTTTACATGTATTGTTGAAAAAAAAAATATGCATAGCTGACAATTCCTGAATACTGTTTCTAACTTATAAAAATTGAAATAACTGTATTCGAAATACACAGTCGGATTTTTACCTAAATATTTCTATATTAAAATTTGATTCCCCATTGCAGTCCAGCCCTACCTCTTTGATCATGATTTGAACAAATTTTATTTTAAACTCTTTGAGGATACATCCATATCACCATGCCTAATCGGGTTGTTGTGGCCTTCAGCTCGATATTTAGATATATCGAGGACGTATTGTCAATTAACAAATTGAATGTTAATTTCCATTCTTATGTCGATACGATATATCTTGGTTAGCTTGAAACACAAGAGATAAAAAATACGACAGAGACTGACATATCTGTTTCATATATGAAATTTTTACTTGAATAAGACTTCAAAGGTAATCTAACAACCAAGCTCTATGATAAACTGATGACTTTAACTTTTCTATCGTCAACTTCCCTTACTCATGCAGCAATATACTCTCATCACCTGCATACGGAGTTTATGTATATCAGTTGATTGATGATTTAGAGCATGTTCTACGTATGAACAATTTCGCAAACGAGATAAATTATTGAAAACCAAGTTGATGAAGGATCAGCAGTCTCTTTTTAAGTAATCATTTCGTAAGATCTATGGTCGCTACAATGACCGTGTCAAGAAATAAAATTTATCATTGAGTCAAATGATGACTGGCATTTTTCATACTAATTGATATTCCATTATTTATTCACTGAATTGAGGACGGATTTTCCGTTATTTCCCGATTATGACGAGGAGCACTCGGCGGGTGTGACCGGTCGGCAGGGGATGCTCACTCCTTCATGGCACCTCTGAGTTTTTGGAGGTCCCTGTTTGCTCTGCTCCTATTTTGTATTGATTTATGGACTTTTGATCTTGAATACTACACGGTATCTCCATATGTTTCATTGTTCTTGAGAAAAAGATTAAAGAATAATACAAGTATATTCCTAAATAAAACTTCCACTCCCATTGTTGCACAAACTTACCCCCATGAGTCCTGATTTGAACAAATGTGAATGTACAGTGCTTGAGGATGCTTTCATAATTGACTAAATGTGACTTTGCTGTTCTTAATAAGAAAATGTTCAAAGATTTCTGAAACAAGAACAAAAAAGAAAGAAATGTACGAGTAACAATATACATGTATGTATAAATTAACTATTGACTTTGAAATATTGGTTTAGTTACATGTGTGTACTTACTGTTTCTACTTCGTCTGTGGACATTGTTATAATTGTTTTAATTATAATATTTATCCTATCAATACATAGAGCAACGAAAACTATCCCTTGATTTTAGAGCCATAGTTAGTATCTTGAACACTGTGTACAATATTTTTTTTATATAGGAAAAACTTTAGGAAATGCATTTAATATAACATTGATATGTTCATTATTAATCTTAGGTTATAATCACAGATTATGATATCATCTTTTTTCCAATGCTTAAAGTTTTGCTTATCTAGAATAAATAAAGGAATGTGCTTGCATGTAATTTGTAAATACAGACAAGAAAATGATATAATGTCTCGTATAATCTGTTTTTGACGTTATTGAAAAACTGTGTTCTTTGTCGTATTTTTAATGGTTTTTTTTTTATTTCCTAAAGTCTAAACCTACCATCATTTTATTCCATGGCATGTACCCTACTTCCTAAGTTTTAAGAACGTTCATCATATAAATTAGTTACTGAATGGAATCAGATGATGAATTTAATTAGAATTACAGTATGAATAGTCGGCCGCGGGGTACAGTGATTGGAGTGTCTGCTCTATAGTCGTGGAGTAAGAAACTGTTCCTTACGTCACGGTTTCGAATCCTTTCAGAACGTTGAGACCAGTCTTTTGGATCATAGCGTATAAAACGAATTCCCGTGTCGCAGCAGGTGTAAGCACAGAAAAAAATCCCTCGCTGCTCAATGGCGCTGAGTGCCGTGCATATATATAGATTTGCAGATCTTCACCGGCAAGTGCTTGCGTCTAGATTTGAGTTAAACATTTTCGAGAGGAACGTTAAACAACAACCAAACAACTTATTTTGATGAGATTTCGGTACTTTCAGTGGACAAAAAAGTGTTCACTTTAGTAAATGTAATTATCTAAAAAGACATGATATTTTCTACAACACTCAACAATTGTGAAAGAAAATTCAATATCACCTGAAAACTTTCAGATGAAACAAAAAATTTGTACTTTGCAGCACGTGTTTTGTGTAAGAATGTTGATATCTGGACCATCTTTGCACTACGTTTTACTCACCTTTATTTTAGTGCTTAATTGTACTTCATATTACTTTTAAAACTTATTAAACAGTATCAAAACCCATTTAAACACATTTTTCTATAGGCTGTGCTCATTTTACTTCACCAATTTATCACAATTTGAAAGTTTTTGACAAAATTTTACCACACCGGAAATGACCTTGATTTTCTTGCGAGGAGAAAATTTCGCGTCACACCAAGTTAAAAAAGTGTTAAAGTGTCCTGAAAAAAATCTTAGAAACATGGAAACAAACCATTTCAATCGTACGAAAAGGATACGAAATCGGTGCTCTTGACAGTCTTATATCAGCTCAAGCGGTCTGAATTATCCTTAAAGCGGCACACTTACGTGCTAAACACCCAAGGATATTGACCAATAGGCATTTGTTTGACGATACACTGTCAAATTCCCGGATCTGAATTCCATTGAACACATTTGGGATTTTAAAAGAAATTTCAACCCCCCCCCTTTTCCTCACAATTTCAATGGTTTGGAAAGATCTATACAGTACATGTAGGTGTGGCAGCAGATGGGTAAATCTCCTATTCAGTGGTACATGGTATCCAACGATAAAGATTGTCTTGTAGTGAAATTAGAGCGAGTAGTGGGTCATACTCCATCGAGATTTTTTTTGTGAATTTTCATTTTGAGGGTACTTCCTTTCCTTGACACTTTGCTTAAAATTCTGAAGAGATACTTACATGAAATTTACGCAACATTGAACTTGATATATGCATCATTAACCAAGAATTAAAGAAATTATTTATTGTTTGCATTTGTTCTTTAAAACTTCAAAAATGTTAG